CTGGCATCACCACTTGCTCCCCCCCAATGTCCCTCTGCTCCCCCCCCAGGGGGCATGCCCCACAGTTTGAAAATCTCTGTGGGGTGGTCACGTACCCTCCCAGAACCTTTAAATTATGTCCCCTCCCCCCCATCAACAGTTATGCATTGCCTCTGCAATCATGGCCAGCTCATGCACCACTTTTCATTAAAACAACTCAGCACACCTCCAATATTTATTTTAGGAAAATTAATTTCAATTGAGCTATTTTGAGAGTTCTAAGATCTCATGGATTATTTTTGTATATAACCTTATTATGTTTTGTATTATCTTCTGAAGTAGATGGTGAGCTTGGTCGAGTCTATCTCTTTTTGAGATGGACGAATCATAAATGTGTCCATTTTGAAAACTATTTATAGCTATTCCACCATGTACAGGAAGGGCCTGGGTCTGTAGATCAGTGTGGTGTTGACCTGGGGTAGGCTGTCTTTGTGGCATCAATAGAAGGGTAAAAATCAGCTATTGGCTCTATGCTACATTTTTAGAGAACAAATAAACAAAACCATTTCTCTCTTTTCAAAGTCATAATGGTAATACAATGGTAGCCATCACAGTTGCAAATCCAAGAAATCCTGTGAATTTAAATATTCAGATTTATTATTGTAAGCAAATTTTCTCAAATCAGAGCAATCCTCAGTGAGAGCTAAACTATCTTCTGGCTCAGACTGTCTTAATAAGGGTTTTCTAGCAACTATTTGGTATTTACCTTCTGATTTAGGGTCTGATCCACTTATGCACAGCCTAACTTTTCTCTTGTGAGTAGTCCTATTTGCTATAATGGGACTATTCAAGTAAGTAAAGTTAGTCACATGCTAAACTGTTTGCAGGGACCAAGACGTCAACTAATTATATTCTCTGCTTGAATGCAAAAGTGTGGAATTTATATTTTAGTCATAGCAGAGTGATGTAAAATTGCTAGATTTTATTCTATAGAACAAGGCTCCAGTGAATGAGTCCAAGTTGTAATAATGATCTCACTCAAACCAAAACAATCCTAATCAGAAAACTGTAGGCTATACCTCTGTGTTTACACTCATAGACTTTAAGGCCAGAAGGGACCATCTAGTCTGACCTGCACATTGCAGGACATAGAACTTCAGCTATCCCCTCTTGTAATAGCCCCATCACCTGTGGCTGAGATACTGTAGTCCTCAAATAATGATTTAAAGACGTCAAGTTAGAAAGAATCCATCATTTACTCTAGTTTAAACCAGTAAGTGACCCATGCTGCAAAGGAAGGCGAACCCTCCCCCTCCCCCCCCCCAGGGTCTCTGCCAATCTGACCTGGCTGAAAATTCCTTTCTAACTCCAAATATGGCAACTTGTTGAACCCTGAGCATCCCGGCAAGACCCATCAGCCATATGCTGGGAAAGAATTCTCTGTAGTAACTCAGAGCCCTCCCCATCTAGTGCCCCATTTCCAGTCATTGGGGATTTTTGCTACTAGCAGTCGCAGATGGGCCACATGCCATTGTAGCAATCTCCTGGTACCATCCCCTCCATAAACTTATCAAGCTCAGTCTTGAAACAAGTTAGGTTTTTTGCCCCCCACTGTTCCCCTTGGTTTAATCTGAAGTCAATTCTATGCTGCTGGGAGCTGAGATTTCCCCAAGAGTAATGAATAATGCTGACATCAAGTGGTTAAAAACTCACATTATTGTTCGCCATGTTAGCCAGAGTTCTACTTACCTTTGCAAGTTTCTTACACTCTTGAAATATCTAATTCCTAAACCTATTACTCCTATTTTCGCCTTCAAATCATTTTGGCCAAACCCACATGTGTGTACATGGCCCAAGAGTAAATCATATATTTTCTTTTTACTGATGCTTTCCATTAGGCTGAGACAGCACTACTGGAAGTAATGCATAGTCAGAAAAAGTATAGCCTTTGGAAGTGCTAATTTGGTACAAAGAGCAGCAGAAGGAGAAATACAAGAATTCTAACATGGTTTTTAGCATTGTCCAAAAACTCACATCTGGTTTAGAGGAGATTCTTCCTCCCCTAATATTCAAAGTCAGTTGTCAGAGCAAGAAAAAAAATACATACCCTGGGACACAAGAATGGTCATCACCGAGGGTCATCTTTCCTCACCAAGCAGTGAGGCACGTATGAAAGAGAATTAACTACTTAGCTCCAAAGGAAAACTTCACATACTCCTTCAAGGAATGTGCATTTAATACAACACTGTGCTATTTATAAAGCATACAAAAATGTGCTAGGTGCATTACAGATAAATTAAAAAGACAGTTCTTTTCCCTAATATGCTTTAATAGGAGACAGAATCTTAGATCTGGGTTCACAATTGCTGATTTGTTTACCAAAAAAAAAAAGGGTAGAGGATTGAACATTCAACAATTAGAACATTCAATAAATAACAATCCAAACAAATAAAATTAGGAGATCAGTAGTTCCTGGCAAACATCAGTATAGTGGCAGATCAAAAGTTTGGAGTAGAGGGCTGTTATCACACCCTCAGAATCTGCTTACTATACACATTTTAAAGATGCAGTGTTGATTTGATAACCAAATAGGATTCAATACAAAGACAAAAGATTCTGAATTTTCTCGAGCTAAATCAGATGTATTTTTGTCATATGCAGTGAGTAGGAACACTACTATACTCTGAACAAATTTTATATAAAAGTTTCTATAAAATCTAAACTAGAGAATATAACAACAAAAATTGTACAGTGGCCAATAATTACTTTATCAAATAAATTTTCACCTGGTTGAAAAATAGAAAGACTTCCATCAGTGTGTCCAAATACTACTTTTCCTTTCTTCTTTGGATGCCATCTAAATAGACAAATGTCTGACAAGAAACTATGTGCTTCTTTATGTACAGCTACCCCACTGTCTGGTCCTGAGATAGTCCAAATATACAATGGGCCTCTATGGGAAACAAATGCAACTGCATCACCTGCATTCCAGCACCAACTAAGTGAGGCAGGAACCCCTGAAACATTTAAAAAAAAATGTAAGAACTAGCATTTGAAGTTTAGAATGCTATTATCTATCAAATATTCTTAGCCCATTACTGACATTGGTCTTGAAAAGCTGCAGATCTTAAATTACTAGTAAAGTAATACGTTAAACATATTTTACAGACTTCAGTCTAAGCGTATACAATTGTGTGTACTTGGCATGGCATAAAAGTAAACTCTACTTACGCATTTTCAAAGAGTGACAATTTTATGTATTACATGGCAGCGGACTATACTGTGGTACACATGCTTAACTTCTACTAGTGCCAAAGGGAGTTATTCATATGACTGAAGATCAGCCTGCTCCTATATGTTCATCCTTACACAAATACTTACCTTACAGTAAGAGTAATGAACTGTTATTAATCAGTTAAAAAACAAAACCACTTGCAAACTTTTACAAAATGTATTTACGTTTTGGCAAAAACCCAGGAAGTCTAACCATAGTGGGCTAATCTACACTAGAAGCGCTATATTGGCACAGGTACACTGATGCAACTCCGCCCCCTGTAGTGAATCTGGTGAAGACGCTCTATGCTGACAGGGGAGAGCTCTCCCATCGGCATAATAAATCTACCTCCACAAAAAGCAGTAGCTATGTTGGCGGGAGAAGCTCTCCTGATGACATAACGCTGTTCACACCAGCACTTAGGCCAGTGTAACTTATGTCGCTCAGGGGAGTGGCTTATTCACACTGAAATAAGTGGTAGTGTACACCTGGTCTAAGACTACAGGAGCAGATAACTGCACCTGAACTTTAAAGTTTTGTAATCAGTGGGAGCTATAGGTGCTTAGCACTTCTGAAAATCAGATCACTTTTATTTAGGTGCTTAGATATGGACACAGGCACCTAATTTCAAGTATCCAAGTTGTAAGTGTGACCTCAGCATTTACCACACTGCAATACTCCACAATCATAAAAATTAGATTGCAAGGTGTGACCAAAGAACAATCTCAATAATATATATTTCCCCAAGCCTCCCATGCACATTTTATTTAGGTACTTTTTTGTACTAGTACCATCAGAGATATCGGATATGCTACAAATGTAAAGTTAATAAGGGGTTTTAACACAGTTTATTCTGAAAATAAAAGCGGTGAGCAACATAGTTTTCATATCCCATTTATGTACCTCCTATCTCCTTCAAATTCAATCATGGACTCCGGTAATTATTTAGGATTGATCAACTGGTTCTTAAAAAATAAATACCAGTACTGATTTTAACCCATATCCTGAGCAAAAGTAAAGTTTTTATCAGGGTTGAATCAATTCAGATTTCCTTGCCCACTATTTGTGCTTTCATGTGACCTTTAGATCTCACAGCACGTAAGGTTTTCAAAGACATGCCATATACTCTAGAAAATAACAAAATGGGAAGCCTCAGAGCACCAGAAAGTTTGAGAAGCCCAAGAGAGGCTCCCAGACCTTCTGAACCTAAAGGTACAGGATTGAAGAGGGCACATGTTGAAGAAACTGACTGCAGGAAAGCACCTGGGGTGCACTAGCTGCTTGCAGGGAAGGAACTCAGGCTTGTTGCAGAGGAAGTTATTACACTCAGCCTGTTGGAAAACTCATTGGAAGACAATAGGGTTGGATCAACAGTTTCATACTTTTGAGAAGAGCTAGCTGCACATTAGGATGTTTATCTAAAATGAACCAAAAACTATATTTTAGAATTTAAGTGTGATCATTATTAGTAAATGGCCTTATCTGAACAGCAGCCTTTGTTGTAGACCAGGTTTTATTTGTGTTCAGCCTTGCAAAACTGTCATGAAAATTCATATCCAAATCATAAATCGTAATTGCCTACATTTCACTATGATGACTGATGATAATTGATACTATTTTACTTGCCAATAAAAAACAAACAAATAAACTTGCCCTGAGTACAAGGCATTTTGAAAGGCTGTAAGAAGAGTTGAAAAATTCAGTTTTTCAGCAATTACTACAGTTCAGAACAATGTACAAAAACACTGTGTTTTATCATATTCTACAATGAACTACAGTAGAAGTGAGGCTAAAGAATTTTGTGCTCCATCTATAACTGTTCAACTTCTAAAACGTTCTCTACCAATCATTCAACATTTAGTACATTGCGAGTATTTCTGCTATTTCAAAGATGAAGAGCTATAAGAAATAAACCTCTGTGTCTCCGATACCTTTTGTACTGTCCAGTTTTGCAACAGCTTTTTGTTCAGCCACATTCCAAATGATCACTAAATTATCTGCACTGGCACTTGCAAACATGTCAGGGTTGTGGGGACACCAAGATATTGCTGTGATTGTCTTTTTATGCTCAGACATAATTGCCCGGAGTTTGAATTCATTATATCGGTGATCCAACTAAAAAAAAACAAAACAAATTTATTTTAGATACTCAAATTTCAGTAAACTCGCTTAGTATCTATGGCATATATTGCTAAGTTGGATAGTGTAGCAGCTCAAGTCACTAATGGACAAGAATATGAAGCTTACCATACTTAAAAGACTACAATCTGATTTCCACTGCATTTAACAAGTCCAAGTACTTGCAACTTTAATAAGCTAGGTCCATATAAATTTTAATTGCAGGGAAAATGTGTCAATATTCAGTTAAGCCCCTCCCCTCCCTCCTAAAAAATTACTTCCATGTGTTTCATATAGTAACTTCTTTTATTTCACTTCTATAGCACTGCTCATATCAGAATTTTAAAGTACTTTACAGATATTATACCTATTTTACAGATGGCTAAACTGGAGCACAAAGAGATTTGCTCTACATCACACAGCCAGTCAGTGGCAGAGCTGAGAACAGAATTTATGATTCCTGGAACCTTGCTCTAATCATAGACAAATAACAATTTGACACTGGAATTAATGGAAAGCTATTGAATCAACCTAAAACATTTACTCATGATACAGTGATTTGTAAAATACAGTTGGTCTCATCTTGCTTTGAATGAAATCAGTGAGAGTTTGCAATATCAAGCAATCAACATAATCTCCAGGAACCTGTATTTAGTGCCACTAATGTGTATCCAACTCTTCAAATCCAGAAACTCCAGAATTTATGGATCAACCTATGTTTGTCTCATTTTAATACAACATGATTGATTAAAGACTTAGTAAAGATTTAACTCTGATTTTTTCACCTTAAGTCAAACTATTAATATTACTTTCATGTATATTCAGTGTCCTTAGCTGGCTTTTTTGGTTTAGTACAGCAAAGAAGGGGAAATGACCCAGGGAGAAGCTCCGGTATACAAGGTTTCGTTTTACATATGTAATACGATACATATTGTATTAATGGCTACTATAATTTTGACTATATGTTGTATGTCATTTTTTGGCAGTATAAGCAATGGTTAGTACTTTGCAGCCCACAGGCAGCGGGCAAGGCTTCTGTTTATCCCTTCACTTGAGCTCTATAATATGCACCTCACTTACTCTATTTGCTGCAGAGATGTTTTACCCTATTATGAACAATTGTTCCACTCCCAAACCAGAGAGGGATTTAAAACTGGGGGTTTATTAAAGTTAATGTAAAAAACAAACAAACAAACAAACAAACAAGTGCAGCTTGCACACACCCCACACCAGCTTGGTCTCATCAGAGTATACCAGGAACCCCTCTGGGCCCACTTCCTGTTTCCCCACTATGTTCCATTTAAGGGAGAGCGTGCAGTTAATCTAATCCTGACATTTCCTTATCAGTGCTACACAATTCTGAAAGTGATGCACAAGCCAGCATGGAATCTTGCTCCCTTTCTCATATCTACACTGGCTCTGCAATGCTGACCTGAGTAACAAATTGTAACAATTATTTTTTTTAATTGTTTTGGAGTAGATCTGTTGAATAAAAAGATGCCAGTTCTATACAGTCATTTTTCTGACTATAATCGCACTTCAAAACTACAAGAACGTTTCTTGAAAGGGATGAAAGTGAAGTAGAAAGCAAAGAACAATGTTCTAAAGTAAGTAGTCTATTGAGAAAAAAATAATCTTACCTGGTAAATATAAATAGCAAGTGTGGCACAATAAGCAAATCTATCCCCACTAGCAGCACATACATCTTTGTTCCAAGGCTGACATCCAGCAGCTAAAAGGCCCACTTGCTTAACCTGTGACATCTTTGCCTATAAAAAATAAATTTATGGAACTGAGAAATAGAGACAGGACACTTTTTTAATGAGCCAACAATGCACTTTTTTTCAACAGTATGTTTAAAAATATATCCTTTAATTTTATAAATCAAGGCCATATGTTTTCTGAGATACAATGAATATACCAGGAATAAAACCATGCAGATATTCATACTATGCAAGGAAAGGGGTTTAAGGTCATTGGCAAACATACATGCAGGAAGAGACAATTGAAGACAATAGAGCTATGCTCATTTAGAACAGCTGAGGATCTGTCCCAGTATTCCTTTTTGTTATCTCTTGTAGTAAAATTCAACATTTTCTATTCTTAAATCTAATTCCCCACAAAAATGTGTGGGTAAAATACATCATGTGCCAAACATCTCAATGTAAAACAAATTAAGCAACGTATTTTTTCATGAATTTTTTTCTTAAATTTTTAAACCATTATGGGCTAATTATTTAATTCCTACTCTTTCCCTTTTGAAAAAGTAATTTTTCGTATCTTCTCAGTAGTCTACATCTACAATAAGATTTAAAATGCATCAGGAAAAATAAATAGGAAGACAACTGACATATGTTAATGTATCATTAAACGTCTTTGTGGACACAATCTTACCGCTTTGTAATGGGACTCTCCCGTTGACCCACCTTGTAAGTAGGTATTAGACACATGAATAACGCTGCAGAAGTACTGCTGGATCATTATGGGAGTGGCTCTATAGAGAGAATAGGTCCTATAGGGAAAACCAAGTTCAAGAAGGAAGCTGGATATGAGATTTACGCTTTGTTATTGTGTCTGAGTTACTAGTTTGGTTGGGGATGAGATAGTGACTCAGCCCATTCACACCCTTCGTATAGTGCCCCATGACCAAGACAGCACATGTATCTGCACATAAATCATCTTTGCTATACTGAGAGCAATTGCAAAAACAAACCACTTAACCTCTATTCCTCCCCACAAATTAATTACTGCAGGGTAAAACAAAGCAGGGTATGATATCACAATCTCACTCTCAGTGGGAGATACAGATTACTAATGAAGTGTAGTGGTGCCTTAAAAATTCCAAAACAATTTTCATTTATATTAATATATAGAACTTATATTTAATATGAAGATTAAAACATTTTTATAGTTCTTTAAGAACAGTGAAGCATATTCTCAACTCAACACACAGTGCATTAGCTGTGCAATTCCCATCCACAGGCATTTTTCATGAGTTGACAATGTGCCCTCATTTAATTTTTTAAATGAGAAATAGTAGGTTTTGTAAAAATTTGAATTAATCAATGGTCCAAGTGACAGTGGGGGCGGGAGGGAGGGAGAGAGAGAAATCCTTTGCACTCTAGATCAGTGGTTACCCAATGGTGTTTTATAGCCTCCAATAGTCCACAGAACACTTCTAAGTGCTTCCATTTTGGTCTTAGTATGAAGCATCTGTCAGTTTCCAAGCTTGCCTGAAGAAGAGCTCTTTGTAGCTCAAAAGCTTGTCTCTTTCATCATCAGAAGTTGGTCCAATAAAAGACAGTATTTCACCCACCTTAGCTCTCTAGTTTCCAAGCAGTGAAAATTCCTACTAGTGTAGGACTAATCCAGAGTAGGACACTTTAGGGATTCCAAACACACAACATCACTGCTTCATGCCTTTCTTTTTGTGTGTTTCTCTAGCATAATTTCAACTATGATTAAATTTGCAGAGGACACCAAAAGTGGAGGGATAGTAAACACACATGATGACAGATCCAAACTCCAAAGTGACTCCAAAGTGAGATTACAGTAGTGGGGGCTTCAGGCATTGAAGGGGAGATTGAGTACTAATTACTATTGGTTAAGCATAGACAGGGTAAAGTCAAAGCAAAGGAAATAAATAGCACTGATACAAAAATAAGGGCACATAACTAAGGATCCGTACCACATTAAGACTGTCCTAATATTACTTTAATGTGCAACTAAGTACAATAGGGAAAGTGGGAAATCAGACTGGGAAGCTTGGAGAGAAAATTCCTTAAGAAGTGGTTCACCCTGTGGCTTGCAAAATCCACTCACATAGGGCAAGGAGGACTTTTTCCTCAAGTGTGGGCCATCAGCTTCTGCAATATCTAAGCTTTAATTTAAAAAAAAACAAGTTAAAGTCTCTAGCTCTTATATAAAGATAACCTCTCAAATACAAACTAAGCGTCAGCTGATGCAACGTCAGCTTCTTAAGTCTGCAGAAAGTACCAGAGCCAACATCATTATTACGGGAAGGGGAGGCCTGGTAGCTACAGCTGTGTGGGGTTGAGAGCAAAGAGGATTGGTGGCCACTGTTAGGAATAGAGTGCCTTGGGGTGGTGCAACCCGTTGGGCAAGGGGCTTGTTGTATTAAGTTAGATGGAATAAACGAGCCAAAGGTGTTAAAAAACCCAGTCACTGTCCAACGTTTAACAGTGTTAAACAAGGTCCATGGTTTGGTATAAGGAGATCTCAGCCTGCTTACTACCATAGCAAACACACCGTTAAAAATCCTTTTAACCTTTTATTAAAGATCCAGAAAAGACGGAAAAACAATTAAAGCATTTGAAATGTAAAGTATTAAGTAAAGCTTTCATTTTAACAACATTTCTTGTTCCCTTCCCTTTAGCTGGATTATACCCTGGCTCACTGAAATTCAGTCAGCAGGAAAATATAATTTTAAAAGCCTAAAGACAGGGAGACTTCCAAGGCTTAAAGCTCCATTCCAGAGCTCATGCAGGGAGAGGAAGGGGTTCTCACACTGGGCTTAAGATTACCCTCATCAACCACAAGAAAACAGCAATTATGCATTAGAGACAGCCCCACTCTTTCCTTCAATGTGCTTGCATGGTGTATTGTACGTAGTACTTTGTATTTTTAAATGATATAAAGAAGTCTGGGTAGCTGAATGTATCATTAACGGGATGCAAAGCCTTTAGGTTGCTGAATGAAGGCCAGGTTAATGGTGACCAAGAGTCATTGCCATCTGATGGCTGTGAAATGAGTTTGTATTTTCAATTTAGTTCACAATTGATGTGTGTCCATATCACAAAATATATATCATATTAACTACTGTACTTCTATTTGCAACATGAATTTGGCTGTACTTTCCCTTCTTTCTGAATACATTTATAAAAAGGCAAAAAGTAACTTTATGAAAAGATAGAAATATACCTTTTAGAGAGACTCAGCAACAGGTGACTCAGCAACAGGTGACTCAGCAACAAGATGAGCCCGGTCATTTGAAAATACTATATTTTTTGACTTTGATAAGTCAGTGGTTTTCTTAAAATATGTTCTCAAAATGAAATTATGCTCTTAACAGCACATTTAAGAGGAAAAATATGATTTTAAGATTTATTACTATTTTGTTGAGATAATCACACATGCTTAAACGGCATCATTTCTGTGTTAAATCCTTACACAGTTGTTTTTACTATTTTTGATTTGCAACTACATTTAAATCTACATTTTCAGAATATTTTAGTATTTACCCTGAGTTATAATGTATAAAGTACTTCAAACTTTACTCTAGTATCTCTTGTAAACTTGCTAATTTTCTTTTGTTATTTATAAAGAGTTTCAATGTCACTGCAAAATACTTCAGTTTTATTTCATGATAAAGGAAGTATTTAGTCTGAAATCCATTACAGCTAAAGAACTTAAATAATATTTTACAAGGATTGTTGCATCTCTTGTCAACACTATGCATCAGGCCAGTATCCAGCAGATTTCCTCAGACATTGCAGGTTTCAGTAAACGTGCTCATAGTGTGAGACAGAAAGGAGCATTCATCAGAACATCAGCGTGAAGAAAATGGCAGCAAATAAGAAAAGCACTATAAATATATATCCAAACTGTTACGTTACATCTTTAGCAATGTTGATTTTTCAGTCATCCTCTGTTAAAGTCATCATTTCTATTCAAAATAGAAATGATTATTTTATATTTATATATAGCATGTAAATTATGCAGAAAAATTTTGCTTACTTAAAAATTCTGTAAAATGTACACAGCACTAAGGAAGCTATTATTAAAGAATTTCTACAGTTTCCTAGGAGACAGAGAAAAGCCCAAGCCTTTTCTCTTTTCAATTGGCATGAGCAGAAACATAATAAGTCCTTCCTAATTACTAAATATAGAAACCAGCATTAAACTGAAAGTCTGTTTACCTTAGAGATACTATTATTAAATAACAAACCCATATGACAAAATGGATTGGATGAATGGCTACAGCTATATTATTATTTATAGATACATGCCTATGTTATCCCTACCTTAGAATAGGTATCATTTTTTGTGAACCACTTAAGAATTTCCATGTCCATTTCAAAACCTCGCAGCTCCCAAAATATACCATCTCTTGATCTGGATGTAGCAAGAAATCACTTTACTCAAAGAGGAAGGAACTAAACCCTGATGTTCAAAAGGATAATGCAGACTTACTAAAGGATGCAGAAGAAAAGCCTGAGCATTGTGTCGCACCACACACACAAAACGGCAGTGTCAGTAGCCTGGCAACTGCAGCTCTTTAAAATTAAAATGGTACCTCTTAATCTAACTCGTTTTGCTCTATTTCATGTACTCTATGTATTTCATCTATTTGCTGTATTTCAAGATTGTACTACATTGTTATCTGCAAAACAGTAGCCTTTTCAAGTCCAGTGAAGAGGCATGACTGGCACAGTACAGCATCCTTTATTTATCAGGGTGTATATGTGTGTGTCTGTGCCAGTATATAGGCACAGACACACACACCCTGATATTTATTCAGATTCTGAAATTTTACACTTTTATGATGTTAGAAAATGATGACTGATGCATTTCTCATTTACCAGATGATAATTAATTTGTTACTTTTGACTTCTGTCAAGCTCTTTTTTGATGGAAGTTTGAGTTCAGTTAAAAATGCTCAAAAATAACAATTTAAAGTTTTTTTTATCAGTTATATAAAACTAAATTAAACATGCTGGATACATAGGAAAAATGATTAGTTTTTATT